TCAGGTTTAGTAAGCGTACTAAACCCTAAAAGGGTTTTTTACTAAACTTTTGAAGCGGTAGCGTGTCATTGCATTTTGCTAAACCCCTTTTGGGTTTAGTAAACGACGCTTTTTTTTTAGAGTGTAGCCTCCAGTTCAAATATTCATAGCTAGTTTTAGTCCTTTGTAGCTCTTACTTGCGTATCTCGAATCACGGTGCTGTTATTTTATTCATTTTATGTGATAAATCAATTTAAATGGATATTGTATTCCTTCACGAAATCGAGACCAGTAATAAAGAAGTTTTTCACGTCGAATGTGGCGTAAGCAGTATGTTGGCAAATAATGTCATTAGGTATGATTGATAAAGTGAGTATCAGTTTGAAAGTAGCCATGTCCTATCAGTCGTGCTGGGCACTATATATAGTAATAGAGAACGATTTTTATGATTTATGGGTCAATCAATGGGACTCGAAACATAACATCCTTAGAGCTAGACCACAAAAAATAGTTCAAGTCTGGACACGAACTCCTCCAGCTCTGATCCATATTTCAAGACTGAAACAATTTGTTGCCATCTGGATATCTGCTCGTTAATATGTGTTAGATGTGTCATGGTTACCGTAACGTTATTCTAGAACAGAATTATTTTCAACTCGTTCTAATTTTGTTTCACGTAGATCTTGTGTTAAGTATTTTCATGAACAGATACCCCGGGTTTTGTATTCGATTAATGGCGACTACAGTTTCTTTATCAGCTCATATTCCACATGATATTCTTACTATCACCAAGTTTTATCCTACCTCGTCTGCACTGAAATAATAACTTCTTTGATTGATTCTTTGTTTCTCTACATTAAGTTTTTTTCTACATTTATAACGTAATCCAATACGTCTTTGAAGCAGAAGCGTTTAATTATAGTTTATGTAGTATAATTGATCACCGTCTGTAAGAAAGATGTCATTTGAACCAGAAAATTTTCTAAACCAACGTCGATTGATTTGGTTATAAGATGGTTCTGCAGAAATATTGTTTGAACTGAGTCCACTTTTATCCCCAGCTTTGAATGTAAACTTGAATTATAGCCATTGACAGTCCATCGGACAAAAATGTTAGATGTGATACATGCCTTCAATAGTTATAGAAAATGACGTTGCAGTTTCACATCGTTTACCAATTTGTATGCACATGTTTATTGTTAGCACTAAAACATTTAAATTCATTTTTGTTTGCTCGAATAACTGAGCTTCTAGGCTTAGTGTATCTTGGATATCAACGCTTGTGCCTCTGTTGATGATAGGAATTATCTTGCTCTATAAATGATCTCACTGATCTATTTTTTAAAATTTGTCTATTTTTCTCATATGTGATGATATATTGACATTTCTAACTATACTCTTTTGTCGCCTGATATTCTTCGTTGTCGTACAGACATCTTTTATCATTTATAAAACATTATACAAAAAAAGTGATTTGAAACCATACCATTGACACAAAATCAAGTACAAAAAAGAAATACAAAAGATTTTAAATGGCACACTAGAACCTGTTTGATTTCAATACATCCAATGGTTTACGATTATCGTAGATTGATGGTGCTAAAAGAAATTTTTCATTATTACTTTGAATAATTGTATATGAAAAAAGTTTAAAAATAAGTCTACCTTGAAGAATGATACCACATGTTCCTGCGATACATGCTGTTGTGAATATGTAGAGAAATAATCGATCAATCACTAAGGCCACATATTTCCACTCCTCTTTAATCTAAAACAAGTTAAAAGAAGGATATAACATTTTAAATCAGTTCAAAATCGACGAAAAAACCAGAAATAAAGAACTTTGAACAATTAGCTTGTCCATTTACAAACTATACGAATTACCTTTTTTTCTTCGTCTTCTTGTCTCATATGTTCGGCAACAAATTTGAGTCCTTCAAAAGCTTTTTTAATCTCAGCGGGATATAATGATTCTGATTGTGAACGAATTCCATCATCACCACACCCGCTACCTATTATGTTATCACTGTTATCATAATCATCTAATAAACGTGTATCAGAATTATAATTTTTTCTTATCTGGTATGGACTTTTTTTAGACGATGTTAATGTTGTCGTTGTTGTTGTTCTTGATGGGACAGCTGCTGTTTTTACTACTACTGTATTACTACTATTACCAACAGCACGATAGCAAAGTGGATCAATTGTTGATTTAGGACGTCTCATCCACAAAAGTTTTGGTAGTACATGTAAGAAAACACGTCTAACCCATTGTGGCATTTGATGAGTTAACGGTGATCGAAAATGAATATTAAGAACAACCACAGTGACAACAATTGATAGTGTAACGAGTATCATTGTAAATAAAAGGTATTTACCAATTAATGGTACTACTAATGACGTAGGTGGTATTAACTCAGCTAACAGAAGAAAGAAGACAGTCAACGATAGTAATATACTAATACACAATGCAACCTTTTCACCACTATCACTTGGTAAATAGAATGTTAATACTGTTAAAAATGATATTCCTACACATGGAATTATTAAATTAACCGTATAAAATAATGTTTTTCGACGAAGTATGATCTGAAATGTGATGTCTGGATAAGTTTGTGGACAACACATATATTTACGAATATTTCTCTTAGCCGGAACCTCCATAATATCCCATTCTACACTTCGATAAAAATCTGTTAAATCAATTGCAACATCAATTTTATTACTACCATAAGCAGGTATGGAACCATTTGACTGATTTATATGAACAAGATCAACCTTGAATAATAAAGATCAATAAAATAAAATATTGACTCATGGTTATCATTAACATACATACTTGTTCACCGGAATACGTCCATGAACCAAATTTCATTTGACAATGTTGAATATCTAGAAAAATGTTAATAGAATATTATTTAACTAATACAATGATAAATTTCACAAACCAAAAGGAAAAAATTCAACATTTATTGTACACGATGATTTGTAGATTGCAGGTGGCTATAAAAGAAAACAATATTCTCTTTATTACAAAAAATTCATGTATTTATCAATATACCTCCCAGATGACTCGTCCATCGTGATAAACAGTGGCCTTTGTCATTAGAGTTACTTCATAGTTACCATCCGCACTAAAAAATAAAAAAAACATCCATTTTTTTCAGAATTACTATAAACAATGTTAATACGTATGCATAATGGGCTAGACGTGCAAAATAAGTAGATGATATGGAACTATATCTATGACATGCACATAGCAAAGCATTAATTGTTTAACGCAATATTGTATAACTTATAGAGAGGTACCAACTTGTTGAACAAGACGATATCGGGTTTCCATAGCTCAGCTGCCGGAATCGACATATTTGTTAGATTATTAAAATCTTCCGGATTCCAACTAAGATGAATGTCGGTCCAATACTAAAAATTAATTCGCTTGTCTAACACAGCTAACGTATGGCAAAATGATATTTTAAGGGTAAAAAATAATTCTTATTTTATTTTTACAAAAATAAATTAGCAAAAAATCTATAGTTTAAAGTAGTTTCTTAGTAGGATCCGTCCACAACTACAATCATTCGAAATTGATTAGATGGTAATACTCTAACAATAAATAGAATCGTAATGAAGAGAAATAAGTGACATGAATCATATGAATATTAGATGCAACTCAAATAAGTCAGAATCTCTTCAATTTTCATTTTTATCCTCGACCTGAAACATAACTAGTTATAAGTGTGCCACATCTATCTGAATTTTATTTTTTTTAAAAGTTTTTGATGATGACAAATTTGTATCATACATAGTTGTCGACAAAATTTGTTATTTTTTGAGATACTATAGAATCATTTAAAGTTACTGTTAATATGTATATGTATTCTATATATGATACATATCATCTGCATCTAATTTTTTCTTGTTTGTTTCTTTGTTGCCTATTCAATGTATCGATGATTATTAAGAAGACAAAAAATATCTATTTCTAGAGATAGATAATAATGTATATACTCGTCAACAATGTTTATCCATTAACATCAGTCGATGAAAGAAGAAGAAAAATTCCTTTCTTTTGTAATAACGGTGGAAACGAAGAAAGGGATGAGATTCTTATTGTTCGACAGACAAAGTCAAACTTATGGTTATTACGACTATGATAGTGGTATTGCTCTGAATCAAAATGAGACATATATACGCATGATTGTCACAATAGAAGAATATATCTGACAATTTTCATTGTAGTCAGCACGTTTCTCATTACGATAAATTTTCTGTTTGAACCTTTAAGAGTAGCCCATTACTCTACTCTTATCATTAGCATTTCTATCCAAAAATTAGCAGAATATTCTTAATGTATCAGATGATGTAAAACTAGAACAAAAATGTTTAATAAGGAAACACCAACACCGATATAGGAGTAAAGAATGAACGAGAAATAATAATACTAACAGTGTATGTGACAAAAAAATAATAAAGAGGTAGTGGTGGTAGTGTGCTACGGAAACAACATCAATTTAATACAAACTTGTTATAGAGAACAATATCAGGTAGCCAAATTTGTTGACTAGGTATGTAGAGTACATCAACTCCACCGTATTTAACCGGGTCCCATTTGAGTTTTTCATCATGCCATTCCTATGTATATACGGAGTCTATTTTTATTCCAAGTTTTATGTTTCAAATTAAATATGTGAATAACAACTAAATTTGACAATTAACGAATATTTATTAACATTTTATTCTTACCTGTTTTAACCATACATTCGATGTCATAATTTGATTCTTTTCATCCTACAATGTATATAAACATAAAATTTTTTCATTTAAAATGATTAAATTTATTTAAAAATTCATTCTTACCACATCTAATAATTGTGTTAATCTTAAACCCAAATAAACTGTTAATTTTTCATTATTATTTTTAACAGGACGAATCAATTTGTTATATGAACGAACTTTTATTAATTCTTCATACAAACGTTTGGCTTCAGGATTTCCCAATACGACTAAAAAAAATCAAATAACCTTCCAAGATTATCTATCCACACTTACTCAAAAAAACATGAATCATTTTTACCATAAGTAAAACAACAACAATAAAGTGTTAAAGACGTAATAATAATCTCCATGCATCGATGTGATATTACTCATCAGTATTTAGAAACATGTGTTTGATCATCTAGAAGTATTAAAAAAAAATCAAATGTATAAAACTTATCAACTCTAACGTTCTAAATTCTAAATTATAATTCTAGAAAGAATATTTCGACATTCTTAAAGCCTATCATTTATATGCATGCAAAAAATCCTTAATTTTAATATAGAAAGATTTATAAATAGTGAGGGTTTTTTTATTTAGATTATATGATCACCGACTATATTACTCTAATTTCATCTAAATAATCAATACAGATTATACTATTTATAGATATTAATTTATACATAGTACTCATGTTTAATATCGAAATGTTTTTAGGATAAATAACATAGTGAAAGAGAAAAAATAAGAAAGAAAAGAGTCAAATAATTGTTATTTCTACTATCATCATTTATGTCTTAGTAAATATACTATAGTCACACTTATTCTCATGTATATAAACAAATCATTTTATAAATTTATGATTATGCCCCACTGTTAGTAAACAGATGTTGTAAATTATTCCTTTTATCCAAAGTATATGTATATATCTCAATTGTTCCGATAAAAACTACAGTAGTTTTCTTTTAATAGTGCTTTAAGGCACCTGAATATATTTACGACATATGTACTTAATGATTTCAAATGAATCATTTTAGAACAATATTACCGAATTTTCTTATTGTTTATTTGATACATGTAAACTTGAAAAAAAATGATTTAGAGAACAAATATATCTTCTCTATTGTACAAAAAAGTTTTTCATAATAGACGCTGCCTATCTTCTTAAACTGCATTTATCAAACGTGTATATTGATATTTTATAATATAAGAAAACGGAAGGATGTAACGGAAGTTAGTATGTTTGAAATTACCGGTAAGAATAAAAACTTGATGTGTTTGTGCATTTTTGAAATCTATGGTTTCTGAATAGTTGAACATATTTGTCAATTCTGCTTTTTATTTCTCAATCTTTGTCTCTCTCCTTCTCTTTCTCTTCCTCTCCCTCTTTCTCTCTCTCTCTCTCTCTCTCTCTCTCTCTCTCTCTCTCTCTCTCTCTCTCTATTTTAAATATAAAAATCTTTGTGACACTCAGAAAAAAC